ATTGGGTTTTATGCATGGGCTCTTGCCCCTTGTAAGCTGCCCTCAGCCCGCTTGCGGGGAGGGCGGGGTAAAAATGCCTAAATAAATATAAATAAATAAATACTCTTGATAGAACAGCTCCGAGAACTTGTGACTGACCCAAGGTCACTCCAGCAGCTGCATGTGGAGGGGTGGGGAATCAAACCCGGTTCTCCCAGATTAGAACCCGCGCTCCTCACCACTTCACCAAATTGGCTCTGAGACTCACAGTGAAGACTGGGGCATAAATCCAACATTACTACTACTACTTCTTCCTCTCCTCCTTCTTCCCCCCCCCCTTCCCGCAGCAACTACTATTCAGAGGCCCTCACTATGTGGCCCATCGCCCCCCTCTCCTCCCCAGCTCTGCCACGAGGGTTTCTGTTCAGACGAGCCTTGGAGGTCCCGTGTTGGGAACTCGGGTCCCAGGCACGCGAGGCAACCGACATCGTGGTTGGAGAGGAACTGGGGGGACCCCTAGCTGGGCGCCCTCTGCAGCTTCTCCAACCCCTGGCAGCACCGGCGGTGACGACGTCACCGTTTCTGGAATCTGTGAGAGGGAGTCTAGCTGTCCCTCCTCCCTCTTCCCGCCCCCACTGCGTAAGACGGCCCCGTGGGCACGCTCACGCAGAAGCCAGCCCAACCGCGTCCAGCGCAGCACGGTCACCAGTAAGCGTGTTCACGGCGGAGACTTGAAATACAAAAACGTTCGCCTTAAGTGCAAGTTATGCTCAGACAAAATGTCACATCTACATCTTGACTCTAGCGCCCAATGGAGAGTGGAACGCGCCATGTCAGAATGTAGACAGAGGGAAGATGCGACTTTGAATGCGCCTTCCCGTTAATAAAAAAAGTAAGTTTCCCTTAAGCTAGAAATCTAGCACGTAAGGATGAAGAGGCTGCTCTCTCCTTGCTGTCCTGGCTTTCTACTTGCAGAGGAGTTGTTCTTTGGAGCCTGGGAATATTCTCCCCCTGCAGTAGGGACAGTCCACCCCACCACTTGCTTCCTCTAGACATGCAGACTTTGCCGAAGCGACTCAACCAAGCCTCCCCCCCCCCCAAGCCAATCCGGTCTCCCCCATGCCAGGCTAAAAGATGCCTCCCGGCCCTCCACCATCGCTGGCTTGCAGACAGTCACCAAAGTACACCGGAAAGCCCGGCGGGAAAGACCTACCCCTGCGGAGTGGACCATGCATTTGGGCGCGCCGGTCGTGCCGGAGGAGTACATGATGAAGAGGGGGTGGCCGAAGGGAAGCTGCTCGAACTCCAGCTGCGGGGCCTGGTCTCCTTTCCCTGTGGCGAGGAAGTCTTCCAAGAAGACGCTGGACAAAAGACAGACAACACGAGATAGGAGCGGCGATTCCCGGCCCGTCACGTTTTGCAAAAACTTCGCAAATGCACTGTCGGCTTCCCATTCCCAAACGGGCATTTACAGAATCGCTGAGTGGGGAAAGGGGCCTTACGGGGCAACATTCTGCTCGGTGCAGATCAACCCGGACAACCTCTGCTTGGAGACCCTCCCAGGAGAGAGAGCCCACCCAGCCATCTAGGTTGGATCATGGGACCCACGACCAATCTTGCCCTTTGCAAGTTTCTCTTGGAGTTCAGCTGGTACCTGCCCCTTTAAGACAATGAGACTGAGCCTTGCCCCTGAATACTGCCTTCTTCCAACCGCATCAAGCAAGGACACCTCCTACGCGATGGTCTAGTAAGATCAGTACGGCCTACCAGGACTGTGGCTTACGGGGCAATTCTTTCTGGCGGGGCTGAAGTTCTCAGCGCAGAAAGGAAAGCCATTGAGCCAATAGAAAGCTGTGACCAGGATGGATCTCTAAACTGCAAGCCGTCAGCCACTCTAGACAACAGTTCTCAGCTGCTGCAAGTTAATCACTTCTGCCAGCCGAAGCCACAATCCTGGTAAGAAGCCGGCAGGTGGGGGGTGATGACTAATATAGTCCAGAAAGCGAACACTTAGGCAGAAAAACTCTCTTAAGGGAGACCAGTTTCTTGACACAGAGTTAGAAGGGATCCTAGAGGTCACCTACTCCAACCCCCCCCCAGCTCAGTGCGGGAATTAGTCAACCACAGCACCCCACTGTGCTTAAAGGAGCGCACACCTTTAAAAACATTTTTAAAATGACTGGAAAACATATTTATAGAAGACATGGGGCTGTGCCTTTAAGAAAGGGGGCAAGGCCCCCCAAAGCCCCACCGTCGTTTTGGGCCTCCTGTCCACTCTGACCTGCAACGGCTCCCCAGAGTCTCCAGAAGAGGTCTTTCCCATCACCTCCTGTCTGATTCTCCTCACTCAGGATGCTGGGGGTTGAACCTGGGACCCTCTGCACGCAAAGCAGAGGCTCTCTTGCTGAGCCGCAGCTCCTTGCCCCAAGGGGATTCCCTCATTCTCCTCCAGAGTGAGGACAGTAAAGTTCTTTCAGCCGCTCCTTGCAAGACTTATTTTTCAGACTCGACCTCTTCTGAAGCTATTCCAGTTTCTCTCCATCTCTCCTGGGAGAGCCAGGATAGTGTAGTGGTTAAGAGCGGCAGTCTCTCATCTGGAGAGCCGGGTTCGAATCCCCACCTCCTCCAACATGAAGCCTGCTGGGTGACCTTGGGCCAGTCACAGTTCTCTGAGAACTCTCCTCAGCCCCACCTACCTCAGCAGGGGACTACTGCGGAGAGGGGAGGGGGAAGGAAGGAAATTGGAAGCCGCTTTGAGACTCTTCAGGGTAAAGGAAAACGGGGTACAAAAACCAATTCTTCTTCCCGGACGAGTGACGTCCAGAACAGGACAGATGACTGCGGGAAGAGGAGTGACTGGCATAGAACAGAGTGGAACTATTGAACACACAGGGACCTTCTACCGAATCAGACCTTGGCCTACCTACGTCAGGACCAGTGTTCCCTCTAAGCTGAGTTAGTGTGAGCTAGCTCACAGTTTCTTAGCCTCCAGCTCACACATTTTTGTCTCAGCTCAGGAAGGAGGGCTACGTCCAGAACAGGACAGACGACTGCGGGAGGAGTGACTGGCGTAGAACAGAGTGGAACTATTGAACACACAGGGACCTTCTACCGAATCAGACCTTTGGCCTACCAACGTCAGGACTGTCCAGGGTCTCGGGCTGAGTCTTTCCGCATCACCTGCCACCAGATCCTTTTAAATGCAGATGCCGGGGACTGAACCTGGGGCCTTCTGCACGCTAAGCAGATACTTTGCCACTGGGCCACAGCCCCCCTCCCTCGTGAATTGGATACTCTGCTTCTTTTAATGCAGCCTAAAATCGCGTTCGCCTTTTTAGCTGCAGCGTCACACTCCGCACTCATGCTCCTCTTGCAATCAATGGCAATCCCGAGATCCTTTCCTCATATATAAACCCTAAGCCAGGTACCCGTCTCCACTACATTTCATTGTTAGTTTCAGCCCAGCCTTCCAACCTACCCAGGTCCTTTTCAACTTCATTTCTGCCCCCGTCCCTCAGTAGAGGCCCTTGATTGACAAGCCTGGCCTGAGGCTTGCTTTTAGGCCACCCACGCTTCTACCTCCGCCCCTCTCCTAGCCCACCTTCTCCACTTGCAGGAGTCATGGAATCCAAAGAAGATCGCTCCAAATTCATTTTCGCATCTTGTCCTCTTACAGCTTCCCACCTGCAGTGATTCACATCCTCATACCAGAACAAAATGGAAAATGCTACAGGTTAAGAATAATGGAACTTTTTGAATGCCTCTGGAATGGTCCCGTTAGTTGACGGGGGGGGGGGGGGAAAAACGAATAACACCACTGCCATCTTGTTTCTGCATCTCTGTAGGAAAGCCATTCTCAGATCTAGCCAGCGTGCTTCTACCCCACTCTTCCCCCAAAGAGCTCAGAGCGGCACACGCAGCTCTCCCGTCCTGCTTTATCCTGACAGCAATTATTATCATCGTATGGCATTGTGTGCAGAACAGCCAGGAGATCCTAAGATTGACTGGCAGCCACAAGTTACTCTTTAGCATTATGCGCCACTAGGTGGTGAGCTAGACTTGTTTTTAAGGCAAGTGATGTTTCAGAGGTGGTCTGCCACTGCCTGTGTGCAGAACAGCCAGAAGATCCTAAGATTGTCTGGCATGCAATAGTTCTAGCTCTTTAGCATTATGCACCACTAGGTGGCGAGCTAGACTTGTTTTTAAGGCAAGAGGCGTTTCAGATGTGGTCTGCCACTGCCTGCCCCTGCATCACATCCCTGGTATTCCTTGGAGGTTGCCCTTCCAAATACCAGCCAGGACTGACCCTGCTTCGCTTCTGTGATGTAACGGGATCGGGCTAGCCTGGGCTATCCAGGTCAGGGCATCCTGACAACAACCCTATGAGGTAGGTCAGGCTCAGAGACAGCAACCAGCATTTGCCAAATCTGGCTCTGGAAATTCCTGGCTATTTGGGGGTGGAGCTTGTGGGGGGTGGAGTCCGGGGAAGGATTTCCCCTCGAGTCCACGCTACAGCACGAAGTCCGCCCTTTGAAGCCGCCATTTTTGTGTAGTGGTTAAGTGCGCGGACTCTAATCTGGGAGAACCAGGTTTGATTCCCCGCTCCTCCACGTGCAGCTGCTGGTGTGACCTTGGGTCAGTCACAAGCTCTGGCACAGCTGTCCTTGAAAAAGAGCAGTTTGTGTCAGAGTTCTCTCAGCCCCACCTCCCTCACAGGGTGTCTGTTTTGGGGAAGGGGAGGGAAAGGAGTTTGTAAGCCGCTCTGAGACTCCAAGTGAAGGGCGGGGTATAAATCCAATCTCCTCCTCCTCTTCTTCTTCTTCTACTTCTAGTGGAGCTGGTCCCGGCAGTCAGGAGATCCGCTGTAATTCCTCCAGGCCCCACCTGGAGCCTGGCCACCCACGCAGCAACCAGCCCGAGCAAACCTGACTGCAGAGGGGGCGTTCGAATCCACACCTCCCCATACCTAGTTCGGCAGTCTATTGCACCATGTAAAAATAACTTGAGTCCAATTGCTTTCTGACCGGCAGCCGCCCTCCAGGACCTTGGCACAGCAAGAGTCCTTCCGAGGGTGGATAATGCCGGCCTTTTTCCTTGGGCCTGCCAGGGAAAACCTGGAACCTTTAAGGGGCGACACGCTTGGGCTACAGAAGGCAGAGAAAGAAGTCCTCTTCTCCCTTTCTCACAATGCAAGAACTCGTGGGCACTCCATGAAATGAAGGTGCAGCAGACTTAGAACAGATAAAAGGAAGCCCTTCTTCACCCAAAGAGTGAAGAACACGTGGAATTCCCTGCCGCAGGAAGTGGTGGCGGCTACGAGCAGGGACAGTTTCAATGGAGGACTGGATAAACATCTGGAGCGGAGCTCCCTCAGTGGCTATGAGCCACAAGGTATAGACAGGAACTCTCGGTCTGGGGGCAAGGGATGCTCTGTATTCTTGGGGCTTGGGGGGCAACAATGGTAGGGCTTCTGGAGTTCAGGCCCTGCTGGTTGACTTCCTGATGGCACCTGAGTTTCGGCCCGTGTGACAGAGTATTGGACTGGGTGGGCCATTGGCCTGATCCAACATGGCTTTTCTTAGGTTCATATGAGGAGACTGGATAAACATCTGGAGCAGAGATCCATGAGTGGCTCTTAGCCACAAGGTATAGAGGAAACACACTGTCTGGGGCAGTGATGCTCTGTCTTCTTGGGGCTTTGGGGGGGGGGACAGTGGGAGGGCTTCTGGAGTTCTGGCCCCACTGGTGGACCGCCTGATGGCCCCTGGGTTTTGGCCACTGTGTGATACAGAGCGTCGGACTGGATGGCCCACTGGCCTGACCCAACATGGCTTCTCTTACGTTCTTCTGAGCACAAAGCAGGCGCTCCACCCCTGGGCTGCAACCCCCTCCCCCAGGCAACAGCTGAGACCACAGTGCAGCCGAGGGGAAGGTGGCATTCTAAAAGGGACCGCACCCCAGTCACAAACACAGCCTGGATTTGCAAGCTGCAACTGGGCTCCCGAGCTCAAGGGAGCCGTTTGAGGCTCAAGCAGAGAGCGCTTGACCCGTTAATCGCGTTTGTTTGGGAGCCCGGCTGGTTCTATTAGCACTGCAGGCCCAAAGAGTAAATAAGGCAAAACGAGGCCGGCCTGCTCGAAATAGCGCTCCTAAATTATTCATTGCACCAATTGCCAAGAAACAAACAGAGAAAAACAAACTGGCCTTGGCAGAGCTGGATTTACGTACGAGAGAAGTAAGCGACAGCTCAGGGCCTGGGGTTATGCATACAACAAATGCAAGGAAAGTGAACTACTGGCCGGGGGCGGGGGGGTCATGTGCGGGGGCACCTTAAAAACTTGACATGGCTGAGGGCCTAAACGTGCTTTAGTCCCACCCCAGCTCTCCAGTCTCTCATTTTGCACACCAACAGGGAAAGGGCCGTGGCTCAGCGGAAGAGCCTCTGCTTGGCATGCAGAAGGTGCCAGGTTCGATCCCCGGCATCTCCAGTTAAAAGGACCAGGTGGTAGGTGATCTGGAAGATCTCCACTTGAGACCCGGGCGAGCGACTGCCAGTCTGAGTAGGCGACACTGACCTTGATGGACTGATCTGGTCTATGGCACCTTCATAGAATCATAGAGCTGGAAGGTATCTCCAGGGTCATCTAGTCCAACCCCCTCCCTGCACAAGGCAGAAGAGATTGGATTTATACCCCGCGCCCTTCACTGGGAGTCTCAGAGCGGCTTACAAACTCCTTTCCCTTTCCCTCCCCACAACAGACGCCCTGGGAGGGAGGTGGGGCTGAGAGAGCTCTTGACAGAAACTGCCCTTGAGAGAACAGCTCTGGAAGAACTTGTGACTGACCCAAGGTCACCCCAGCAGCTGCAAGTGGAGGAGTGGGGACTCAAACCCGGCTCTCCCAGATTAGAGTCCGTGCTCCTCACCACGACACCAAACTGGCTCTCTCTCTTGAGAGCTCCACTTCAAAATAACATTTTAAAGTCGAGCAACTAGCACTTATATTTCTGGAGGTCAGCTTGGAAAGGTGTTACGCTGTGACTCGTTGACTCTCAGAAGAAGGCGATTCCGCAAGACCTCGAGTCACCCAGGAGCAGGTGCTTCACTGCTCTTCACATATCCCAGGAGAAGGGCCGTGGCTCAGTAGCAGAGCACCTGGTTGGCACGCAGAAGGTCCTAGGTTCAATCCTCGGGATCTCCACGTGAGGTAGCAGGTGATGTGAAGGATGCTCTACTAAAAACTCTGGAGAGTCGCTGCCAGTCTGAGTAGACAATACTGACCTTGATAGCTCAGCGGTCTGATTCGGCGTAAGGCAGCTTCAAGTGTATTTCCCCCCCCCCCCCGCCAGCAGAGACAGAATAATGCAAATTGGGCAATGCTCCTTCATTTATGCAACTGACAAAACTTTATTCCCCAGAGTCAGAACACAGACCCCCACTGACACAGAAATGGGATTCTTTTCCCTCAAGCTCTATCCGGCTCATCCCTACTCAAAGGGCGATAAATCCAGGAGTCGTCACACACAGCTGCTCTAAGCAAAAAGGTGAAAAACTGTGGTTTGGTCAAGCTGGTCTCACCTGTTTGGAATTTTGGAAGTATCTATGGACTCTTTTGAAGAAACATATGGAATCACCACGACTTTCTGTAGATCGGGCAGACCTGAAAGGAAGAAAAAGACAGCGTGAAACAGAAAACACAGACACACACAACCAGGGGTCATTTAGTAGAAAAAGAGGTGCAGGAGCTCATTAGCATGACTCATTAGCATATGCCACACCCCCTGACATCACCAGAAGTGTGTCAGAAGGCAACACCCACCGTTCAGTCTCCACTGGACTCTTTTGGATTGCTAGCTATTGGGGGGGGGGGACACGTGCAGATCTGCCCTCGCAGAGGAGGGAGAGCTTGTACCTGAATAAAACTTGGTCTTAAAGGTGCCACTGGACTGTTTTGGACCGGGGGGGGGGGCTCTGCAACTTACCTGGCTGCTTCTTGCTCTGACTGAGGGCTGCTGGGAGCAGGGGGCGGGGCTTGTTGCATGTGCCCGCCCCCTGGGCTCCTTACTGCCGGAGCTCCATTCCTGTGCGCTCCTGCAGGAAATGACCCCTGCACACAAGCAATGCTCCCTCTAAGCTGTGGGGGTCTTGTGAGCAAAAATTCTACTTGGTGAGCCACTGGCATGAAAGTTGTGAGCGAGCCATTTGGCTGCTGCATAAATGAGTCTGCTCTGGAGCCGTCCTTCCTGAGCTGAGACAAAAAGGTGTGAGCCCGGGGAGGCTAAAAAACTGCAAGCTAGCTCACACTAACCCGGCTTAGAGGGAACACTGCACACAACTGGGGAGGTGTCTCGGTCCAGATGCAATACTGTGCCACGGCAGTCTGGAACCACAGGAATAAGCCCCGAGTTCAGGCAGAAGGAGGAGAAGTAGCGATTGGATGTATACCCCGCCCTTCACTACCCAGAGGAGTCTCAGAGCGGCTTGCAAACTCCTTCCCCTTCCCCTCCCCACAACAGACACCCAGTGAGGTAGGCGGGGTTGAGAGAGCTCCGACAGAACTGCCCTTGGGAGAACAGCTCTGAGAGAACTTGTGGCTGACCCAGGGTCACACCAGCAGCTGCCTGTGGAGGAGTGGGGAATCAAACCCGGTTTTCTGGATTAGAGTCCACGCACTTATCCACTACACCAAACTGGCACACAGTCTTCCTCCCCGAGTGTGCACAGAACCAGCCATGTCAGCAAACTCTGGTCCGCATTGCTTCTCCGAGCCAGGATTTGCAAGACGCTGCCAAAAGCGCGCTTCACGCGCTCCGAGTTTTGCGTAAGCCTTGACGCGTTTGGAGGCTACAGCGAACCAAGGCTCGCACTGAAACAGCAAACAGGCGGGAGGGAGGCGTGGGCGAGGTCTGTCACGCTATTTCCAGAAGCACCTGGCGTTCACAGCTGCCAGAGACACCACTGCGTGGTGAGCGGTTCGCATCGCACCGGGCCAGCTGGAGCCTATTTTAGTACAAACCCCTTCGCTGTCGTGCAAGCAGGTTACGCGTTCGGGGGTGTAACTCGTCCCCTTCACACCTCTCACTTGGCACAGTCTGCAACGTGCGAGTCAGAAGTAGTCCTGCCCAGGTTGGGGGACAGACCACCCCCCTCCCCCCCCCCACAGCACAGTTTCCTCCCCGACATGAAGGGGCCGAAGATCCACGGACAGTCCAAGGGACGCCAGCAGAACAGCAGTGCCAAGCCAGGAGCTGCAGGCCGCTGGACCGCATGCACTGACTGGGATTGAAGGGGGCACTGAGTAACTGCTTAGTTGCATGGGGGGGAATGCCCTTGACCACGCTCTGGAGCTTTTCCAGGTGATTGTGTTTCTTCCCGTTGTAGATGACGGCTTCGACGGAGAAGATCAACTTGGGCTGGATTTGAGAAAACCTGTCCAGGACGCCCTGAAAGAAAGCGACAAATTAGACAGAGCGGTTGCTTCCTCGGGAGGTGGTGAGCTCTCCTGCTTTGGAGGTTTTTAAGCAGAGGCTCGATGGCCATCTGACAGCAGTGCTGATTCTGTGAACTCGGGCAGATCATGAGAGGGAAGGCAGGAAGGGTTGCATCACAGTGCTTAGTTCTCGTGGCCCTTTTTCACACGCCCAGGGAAATGTTGATCACCACTGTGGGGACAGGAAGCGAATTTTCTCCAGGCCAGTTTGGCCAGGGATCCTAGAGGTTTTTCTGTCATCTTCCGGGCGTGGAACAGTGGTCACTGCGAGTGTGGAAGGTGAGGCCTTGTCAATTTCCTGCACTGTGCAAGGGGTTGGACTAGATGACCCTGGAGGTCCCCTTCCAACTCTATGACTCTATGAAATTCTGAAACACCCATCATTAACCGATGAGGAAGAAGTGGAGGGAGAGAAGCAATGAGTATTCGGACTCTGGGGACAGTTCTGGTCACCACACCTTAAAAAGGATATTATAGCTTTGGGAAAAGTGCAGAAAAGGGCAACTCGAATGATAAAAGGGTTGGAACACTTTCCCTATGAGGAAAGGTTAAGGCGCTTAGGGCTCTTTAGCTTGGAGAAACGACGACTGAGGGGTGACATGATTGAGGTTTATAAGATTATGCATGGGAAAGAGCAGGTAGAGAAAGAGGTACTTTTCTCCCTTTCTCACAATGCAAGAACTCGTGGGCACTCCATGAAATTGCTGAGCGGTCGGGTTAGAACGGATAAAAGGAAGTCCTTCTTCACCCAAAGAGTGATTAACACTTGGAATCCACTGCCACAGAAAGTGGTGGTGGCGGCTACAAGCATGGGTGGCTTCAAGAGGGAATTAGATAAGCATATGGAGCAGAGGTCCATCAGTGGCTATTAGCCACAAGGTATAGATAGGGGCTCTGGGGCAAGTGATGCTCTGTATTCTTGGTGCTGGGCGGGGGCAACAGTGGGAGGGCTTATAGTGTCCTGGCCCCACTGGTGGACCTCCTGATGGCACTGGTATTTCTGGCCACTGTGTGAGACAGAGTGTTGGACTGGATGGGCCTTTGGCCTGATCCAACATTGGCGTCTCTTATGTTCTTATGACTTCTGTAGCTAACTGTGCAGGACTCCTCGTTCCAACAGATGAGGCTGCCCTATACTGAATCAGACCCTCAGTCCATCAAGGATCAGGACTGTCTACTTATACTGGCAGCAGCTCTCTGGGGTCTAAAGTAGAGGTTTTGAATGCTGCATCACCTCCTGCCTGGTCCTTTTTAACAGGAGACGCCAGGGACTGAACCTGCAAACTTCTGCATGCCTTGGAAATGCTTTTATCACGGAGACACCGCCTCTCCCACAGCTTGGATCAAGTTGAAACAGCCAGCAACGTGGACGGGGGCTGCTTTGGTGGGTTAGTTCAACTGGACTGTCAGCCTCAGGGTTGGGATCGTCTCAGGTGTACAGGAGGTGGTCGTAAGAGAGCAGGTGCCATACAGCTCATGTAATGTTTAAAATAACCCCCCCCCCCCCAAAAAAAAAAAGAACAAATGTACTTGCAGGCTGCGCCTGCATTCACTGTAGTGCGTGAACAGAAGACAACATTGGATTTATACCCCGCCCTTCACTCGGAGTCTCAGAGCGGCTTACAAACTCCTTTCCCTCCCCCTCCCCACAACAGACACCCTGGGAGGGAGGTGGGGCTGAGAGAGGTCTTTTGAGGACTGCTCGTGAGAAAACTCGTGACTGACCCAAGGTCACACCAGCAGCTGCATGTGAAGGAGTGGGGGATCATACCTGGTTCTCCCAGATTGGAGTCCATGCTTTTAACCAAGAAGAAATGGATTTATACCTTGCCATTCACTAGGAGTCTCAGAGCAGCTTTCAATCTCCTTCCCCTTCCTCTCCCCGCCACAGACACCCTGGGAGCAGCGTTCCCTCTAAGCTGAGTTAGTGTGAGCGAGCTCACAGTTTTTTCGCCTCCGGCTCACACATTTCTGTCTTCGCTCAGGGAGGATGCAAACGAATTTATGCAGAGCAAACTGATTTATGCAGCCGCCCAATCGCTCACTCACAAGTTCCATGCCAGTAGCTCACAAAGTGGACTTTTTGCTCACAAGATCCCGCAGCTTAGAGGGAGCGTTGCCTGTGAGGTAGGTGGGGGCTGAGAGAGCTCTTTCCAGAACTGTTCATGAGAGAACAGCTCTGACCAGAACTGACTGACCCAAGGTCATCCAGCAGCTGCAAGTGGAGGAGTGGGGAAATCAAACCCGGTTCTCCCAGATTAGAGTCCGCACACTTAACCACGACACCAAACTGGCTCTCCAAGAGGACTTATGTCCTTGTATCTGAAGTCAGGCTTGAAGGTTATAGAGGAAAGGCACCTTTCTCAGGCTTCTTGAACCCACCCAGGCAGAGTGGGTATATGAGCCAAACGATATTCTGTTCCACAAACAATACAGCTGTGGTTATCCTGCCCGGGGGGGGGGGGGGGTACAGGGATGTGGCCGAAGGAGGGCCAGACAGGGCCTTGCTAGACGGAAGGGGAGAACTGGTTTGACTCACTAGCGATGCCTGCCTGGGAGATTTAGATCATGCTGATGAAAGTGGAGCTATGCTGCCCTCTGCTGCTCATGTGGAGAACAACGGAAACAGATGCAAAGACAAAACCTGGAACGTATAGAGTGCGTTGGCTCTAAGGACTCCACAGCTTAGAGGGAACATTGGTCACGAAGCCTCTGCAAGTGGGTCGTGGGCCAACCTTCCCTACTGACCGCCCCTGCCCTCTCTTCTTGCTCTCTTCTGTATTTTGGAACCCCAGATCCGACCTTGGAAACAGTATCTCCCACGCCATACGTTAGTTGTCGTTGTTTTTTGCTTCACTGCATATACCTGTTGATCAATGTCCTTTTTGAGACATGGTGACCAGTACATGAACGGTGAATGGCACATGAATCTCTCTCTTCCCCTTTTAAAGTCATTTATTCCTGTGGCCATCACTACAGCACTTATACCTCGAATAAAACTTTGTTGGTCTTAAAGATGCCACTGGACACAAACTTTGTTCTACGGGAGAAACGGTTTGCAGTTCACTGACTGCTCTCTTATTGCTCTCTTCTGTATTTTGGAACCCCAGATCCGACCTTGGAAACAGGATCATCCACGCCATACGTTAGTTGTTGTTGTTTTTTTCTTCACTGCACATACCTGTTGATCAATGTCCTTTTTTGAGACATGGTGGCCAGTACATGAACGGTGAATGGCACATGAATCTATCGCTTCCCCTTTTAAAGTCATTTATTCCTGTGGCCATCACTACAGCACTTATACCTCGATCTTAAAGGTGCCACTGGACACAAACTTTGTTCTACGGGAGAAACGGTTTGCAGTTCACTGACTGCTAATGGAGCATCACACGCGGATCAGATCCCTGCTTGCAAAGCACAAGTCCCTCAGACCTTCAGCAAGTCTCAGTTCTCTGCCCAAAGATGGCCTGTCTACAACCAAGCTCAGCCCGCTTCCCCACACACCGTTTTAGAGTGGACATCCAAATCTGCGGCAAAATACTGTGGGGACAGAGTTCTTCTGAAAAAGAAGCTGAACCTTCATAAGAACGTAAGAGAAGCCAATGTTGGATCAGGCCAATGGCCCATCCAGTCCAACACTGTCACACAGTGGCCAGAAATACCAGGTGCCATCAGGAGGTCCAGCAGTGGGGCCGGGACACTAGAAGCCCTCTAACAAAATGAACTGGGAATTACAAGCAAGAGCACATAGTTACAAGGAAGTTGGAGATTTAATATACTGCATTATAGGAGTTGAAAATATTTGCATTTGAACCGATCAACGTGCCTTCCGTTCTCAGGGAGAGAGCTGTTCGGCACACAATAAGTGAGCACTGCTTAAAACAAGCCCAGACATGCCCCCCCCCCAATAACTGGAGCGCCACACGCGGATCAGATCCCTGCTTGCAAAGCACAAGTCCCTTAGACCTTCATGGCCTTCAGCAAGTCTCAGTTCTCTGCCCCAAACATGGCCGGTCTACAACCAAGCTCAGCCCGCTCCCCCACATACCATTTTAGAGTGGACATCCGGGTCTGCGGCAAAATACTGCGGGGACAGAGTTCTTCTGAAAAAGAAGCTGAACCTTCATAAGAACGTAAGAGAAGCCAATGTTGGATCAGGCCAATGGCCCATCCAGTCCAACACTGTCACACAGTGGCCAGAAATACCAGGTGCCATCAGGAGGTCCAGCAGTGGGGCCGGGACACTAGAAGCCCTCTAACAAAATGAACTGGGAATTACAAGCAAGAGCACATAGTTACAAGGAAGTTGGAGATTTAATATACTGCATTATAGGAGTTGAAAATATTTGCATTTGAACCGATCAACGTGCCTTCCGTTCTCAGGGAGAGAGCTGTTCGGCACACAATAAGTGAGCACTGCTTAAAACAAGCCCAGACATGCCCCCCCCCCCAATAACTGGAACAGCCATGCCTTAAAATAGCCGATTTCGCTATATGTCGATCTCACTGTTAAATAACTTATGAGGCTGTCAAGGGTTCTCTTTGGCTTTGTTTTTAAACAAAAAAGCTCTGGTTTGGAGCTGGCATCCAGAACAATGCTCCCAAGGTTCCAGGCAGCATCTTCTGCCACAGAGGCAGATTTTTGAAAGAGCAATTGCCTTTTGCCGTGGATCATCAAATCATGCAAGATATAATTTATCTGCCTCTTGTATTCACTAGGGCAAACAGGAAGCTTAGAAACGACATTTCTTTATTTAAGAACCTAAGAAGAGCCCTGCTGGATCAGACCAGGGGTCCATCTAGTCCAGCATCCTGTCTCACACAGTGGCCAACCAGCTCCTCTGGAGGGCCAACAACAGGGCAGAGAGGCCAAGTCCTTCCTTCCCGATGTTGCCTCATGACACTGGGATTCAGAGATTGAGTGCTTCTGAATGTGGTGGTCCCACTCAGTCACCCTGACTAGCAGCTATTGATAGACATTTACCCTCCATGAATGTATCTAATCCCTTTTAAAAGTCATTCATTCCCTGTGGCCACCACGACATCCTCTGGCAATCACTCTCTGTGTAAAGTAGTATTTCCTTTTGTCCGTCCTGAACCTACTGCCCACCAGCTTCATTGGATGCCCTCAAGTTCTAAAATTTTGGGAGAGGAAGGAAAAAGTTCTCTGTGTCCACTCTCTCCACCCCGTGCATAATTTCACAAACCTCGATCACGTCCCCACTTAGTCCTCTCTTTTCCGAACCGAAACGTCCCAGACGCTTCAGCCTTTCCTCAGAGGGAAGGGGCTCCAGCCCCTGAATCATCTTGGTGGCCCTCCTCCGTACCTTTTCCAGCTCTCCAGTGTCCTTTTTAAACACGGGGACCAGAACTGTACACAGGATTCCAAATGAGGCTGCACCATAGAGCTATACAAGGGCATTCCAATATTGGCTGCAGTTCTGTTCCTCGTGATCCACTGACGTGTTTAAAACGTGCCTGTGTGTTCAGATCTAGGGGAGAAATTCCATCTAAGCCCACGTTAGACAGAGAGGACTTTTCCTCCCTCCCCCCAAATCCCAGAGCTCGGGGTCTTCCAATGAAGCAGTCGACTCAGGGCAGACAAAACGAAGTGCTTCTTTACTCAACGAATGACCGAAATGTGGGATTTGCTGCCGGAGGATGTAGTGATGGCCACAGGCCTAGACAGCTTTGAAAGGGGATTGGAGAGATTTACGGATTAGAGGTCTATCAGTGGCTACTAGCAGGGTTCCCTCTAAGCTGAGTTAGCGTGAGCTAGCTCACAGTTTCTTAGCCCCCAGCTCACATGTTTTTGTCTCCACTCAGGAAGGGATGGCTCCGGGGCAAATGAATTGATGCAGAAGCCAAATGGCTCACTCACAACTGTAATGCCAGCAGCTCACAAAGAAGAATTTTTGCTCACAAGACTCCACGGCTTTTGAGGGAGCACTGGCTTCCAGCCCTAGTGACTAAAAAGAACCTCCACGTTCAGAGGCAGTCAGCCTCTGGATCCCAGCGCCAGGAGGCAACCTCAGGGGAAGGCCTCGGCCTCTGTGCCCCGTCATTGGCCCTCCCAGAGGAACTGGCTGGCCACTGTGTGAGGCTGCATCCTGGACTAGGCAGACCACCGGTTTGACCCAGCAGGGTTCTTCTGATGTTCTCTCAGCCAAGTCACAAAGGAAGTATAGGCAAACCCTTCAGCAGAAATAGATAGTTAAGAGGCCAGAATCCGGCAGAGGGATTACTAAATACCCCAAGTTAGCTCTGTATCCTTTAATATGAGGGAGTTTAACCCCATTCTTACATACACAGGGAAATGCCGATCACCACTTTGGAGTCAGGAAGCAATTCTTCTCCAGGTCAGTTTGACTGAGGAACCTGGAGGGGTTTTTTTTTTCATCTTCTGGGTGTGGAATAGCAGTCACTGGGGGTGGGGGGTATTTGTGAATTTCCTGCACTATGCAGGGGTTGAACTAGATGATCCTCGATGTCCCTTCCAACTCTATGACTTCCAACTCTATAATTCTATGATTCCTGAATTCTCCTTTGGATTATTTGAAACATGTAGGTTTCATTGGAGTTAACCGGGGAGCCTAACTCAATACCTAACAAACTCATTTTCTCTCTTATGGATTGGGACCATTTAGAAACATGGGTCAGCAGTTTAAAAAGCAATAAGACTATTTTGGAGGAGGCTGAAAACAAAAGATGCAACCAATATTTGATAGCAGCAATCCAAGCTCTAGAGCTTATGATAGAGACCTCGCTCAGCGCACAAGGTGGAATAACTAACTGAGTTGGGAATGCCAAGAATACGGCACAGAAAGGTTGCATCAACTCGCTCAACCTTTTTATTGAAATCCTGAATCCACATGGGAACCCCATACAGTAACTGGGGAACCGCTGTAGCCCCGGAAAATCTGGAGGGTGACCAGGACAAATCGGTCACCTTTTTGATAGCGAAAATGAGTTATAGCGGCCATCTTGTTCTTAGCCAAGCTAAGAGAGCGTTCCCGATGCACGGACCATTTTAGGTTGTAATGAAAGTCTGTGATTCTATGACAGCTTCCGATGTTGTTCACACATTCAAGCAGATTTCCCCCCAAGGGGAAGAGCTACAGCAACCATCCAATCACCTCCTCTGGCTTCCCAATGCCCCCCCCCGGGTCCTGGTGTGAAAGGAAGGGAAGGGTCTCTCCAAAGAGCCCTCAGGGAGGACCCACGCTCCACCGCACTCCTGAAAGAGCCGTGTCGGACCCTCCGCCGCAGCTCTTACTTACGTTGACGCCAAAGTCAGGTGACGTCGCGCTCCAAATGGCCCCGATGCTCGCAGCTGCCAGCATGGCTTCCACCGCATGGATCCCGTTTGGCAAATAACCTGCAGCGACCAGAAGCCAGACTGCTGGTGAGCAAGGGGAAAGGGCTCCACCCAAGAGACACACAAAGAAGCAGGGCTATTTTTGGGCAGGAACACACAGGAACGGAGTTCCGGCTGGCTCCCGAGTTGGCCACGCCCAGCAGGAACTCATTAGCATAATAGGCCACACCCAACCACAGAAACTCATTAGGATTGGCTACATTAGGGGTGTGTGGCCTAACATGCAAAGAAGTTCCTGCTATAAAAAAGGCCTGGGTTTTGACAACAAACAAGATAAACAGAATAACAAGCAAAAGGTCGGTGTGGCTGGATGACTATACTTCTGGTAACATGGGGGTGCGGCCTAAGATGCTAATGAGCTGTGCTGTCAGGGGTGTGGCCTAATATGCTAATGAGTTCCTGCTGGGCTTTTTCTACAAAAAAAGCCCTGCAAGGAAGCAAGCGCACTCCACGACTATCGGGTTAGACCCCCTCGTCTGGTTTCCCAGCTCAGCGAATCGGAGACTCTGTCCACAGCCGGCAGGGCAAGAGGCGGCCGGCAAGCGGGAGGAGCCCAGCGCTCCAGTCGAAGGAGGCACAAACTGGAGTCACGTTCTGCTGGGCTCTGTGCATTCTGATCCTGCTCAAAGGGAGAGGCGGGTCTTAAGACACAGGAAGGGGGGGGTGTCCAGCCGCCCCAAACCGTACCATCTTCATCTTGATAATGCCTAGCTCAGGGATCCCCAACTTTCTTGGAGCCTCCCAACACGTTCGGAATTCTAGCATGGTGGGCACATGAACAAAATGGCTGCCACAGTAGGCGGAGCCAGCCACACAATGGCCGCCACAGCTTAATTTCAGTCACACAGTGTAGATCCTTGTGCTGCAGCGGCAGCTGCTGCCAGAGCGACATTTTAAGACGTCGGCACAGCCAATCAGACCTCCAATAGTCGGTCAGAAGCGCTCAGGGTTCCCTCTAAGCTGCGTTAGTGTGAGCTAGCTCACAGTTTTTTTAGCCTCCGGCTCACACGTTTTTGACTTAGCTCAGGAAGGGACGGCTCCAGAGCAAACTGATTTATGCGGCAGCCAAATCGCTCACTCGTGAATGCCAGGAGCTCATAGAGTAGAATCCACAGCTTAGAGGGAGCATTGGTACACAGGCACACGGGCACCATGCTGGGGATGGGGACCCCTGGCCCAGCAGAAAGCAACACAGGACGGGACACCCTTGCACTCGGTCAAGTGGTGAAACCGAGCAAGGTTATGCATGATGCAACACTATGTTCTGCTGAACATTCGGGGGGCTGGGGGGGAGAGATGCGGGTTAGCAGTAGAGAGACGGCTTTCACAATGTCTCGTTTGGGTTCCAAGTGCCCTTCAGTAACTTCAGAGAACTTGGCCTTTGAAACGAGGGCAGCACAGGAGCCAGGAGTCTGCGCCAGGAAGTGGGAAGTTCCCCAGTTCAAATCCTGTCTCTGCCACTGGCCTCCTAAGCAGCCTTGGTCAAGCCACCCTCAGCGCTGCATCTGCAGTATGACGCTAATCCAGACCAGCGTTCCCTCTAAGATGAGTCAGTGTGAGCTAGCTCAGTTTTTTAGCCTCTGGCTGACACATTTTTGCCTTAGCTCAGGAAGGAGGGCTCCAGAGCAAACTGATTTATGCAGCAGCCAAATCGCTCGCTCACAGCTTCAATGCCAGTAGCTCACAAAGTAGAATTTTTGCTCACAAGACTCCACAGCTTAGAGGGAGCATTAATCCTCCTGACCTACCTTACAGGGCTCTTGTGAAGACTGCCGCAAGGCAAACACTTCATGCAGCACTGACTGCTTAACACTAAGCCTTGCATCCAGACAGCAACAGAAGAGAAGAGATTGGATTGATACCCCACCCTTCACTACCCAATGGAGTCTCAGAGCGGCTTACAAGCTCCTTTCCCTTTCCCTCCCCACAACAGACACCCTGTGAGGTAGGTGGGGCTGAGAGAGCTCTTGACAGAAACTGTTCTTTTTTCAAGAACAGCTCTGACAGAACTACGGCTTGCCCAAGGTCATCCAGCAGGTGCAAGTGGCGAATCAAACCCGGTTCTCACAGATTAGAGTCCGCCAGGGGTCGTTTCATAGAAAAAGAGCTAGGGGAACTCATTAGCATACTCATTCGCATATGCCACACCCCCTGACATCAGGGGCCCGGCGGTGGACCTGCAAGGCCGGCGGGAGTGCAAGGAAGCCCCGCCAAGGCCCTCCCTGGCCCCAGGCAGGCAGGGGTGGGGAGAGGCGGGGAAGAAGCAACTTACCCTCCCTCTTCTCCTGCCCTCTGGAGTCCGCACACTTAACCACTACAGCAAACAGCCTCTGTGTGTCTGAATATTCTCCTATTCAAGCAGTATCCCTGTTGAGATATGAGCATTTACTCCTCTAGTTAAAGGATCCTTGGCTTTGGGGTGGTTGCCACCAATCCAGTCCACTAACGGTGACACTTTTACCCTGGTGAGATGACCCTTCCCCAGTCCCAAGGCTCACACCAGGGGAAGGGTTCATGTTATGGAGGGGAAATGCCACTGTTAACAGAGCCCAACCTACAGGATGCAAGGTTTTGTTCGAAAAAGTGGCTAGAAAATTAGACACGCCTCAGTCTCACTCTAATGCAGGGGTCCCACCAACACTTTTTTTGGCACCAGCCAAGTGTTTTCAGGAAGCGGGCGGGGCCAGGTAGGACTTTTCCTCAGCAAGGCTTCTGATTGGCCACTGGAGATTTGACTGACTGTGCAGATTTTTCTGAAGTGTTGCTTTGGCAGTAGCTGCCATCACAGCTCCGCCTCCTGGCCGTTTTGTGGCTGCATCCACCATGCCACGCCAGAATTCCAAGTGTGTCTCCAGGCTTCAAATGGCTGGGAAGACCAGCTCTAGTGATTGGCAGCAGAAACCAAGTGGCCCAAAGGGTAGGTTAGGCTGGGAATAGGTGTCTGGAATAGGTGACTGGCCCAAGGTCACCCAGCAAGCTTCCATGGCATGAGTGACATTCGAACCTGGGTCTCCCAGACCCTAGTCCAAAACTTCAACCACTGCACCTCGCTGGGTTTCTTGTATGAAAATCCCAACACGTGCTTGCTTTGTAAATGAAACTGAGGACGGGTGCTTGAATAAGTGCGGGATGTAAAGCACGCGTTCGGTTGCATGTGCAACGAACGCAGAATGTAAACCAGTCTATGCACATATAAAGAAAAAACCAAGTGTACCCTGTGCGGGGATTGTACACGCCGTCTCTATAATCTGCAAGCAAGGCTTGCGAGACACTCGAACCTCCCGAACTCCAGCTCGGATCCGGACCAAGAGAAGGGCAGAGTTTTGACACCTTTCTACGCAACCCCCGAGGCTCTCTGCAACGGAGCCCTCTAAGCAGCAACCCGCCGCAGAAGACAAGGAGAAAACGGGCTTTACGTGAAAGGGCTCGCAAGGCTAATTATGCAACACAGCTAATGACATCGAAGCCCTGAAGGCCTTGGGCAACCGGCAGGCCAATTTTTTTTCCGATGGAAATGAATTTCAGGCGTGATGAATGTTGGGACCACCTGGGTTCTGGAGTATGTGTGTTGCTGGAGCAATGACGGCTTATTCCTAGTAGAGGAGGGCGGCTTCGGAATATTAATGGCACCTTTCATTTTGGTGTTAAGAGCCACTTTGGTGTAGTGGTTAGGACTGCGGACGCTAATCTGGGAGAACCGGGTTTGATTCCCCACTCCTCCACTTGCAGCTTCAGGTGCGATGAATGTTGGAACCACCTGGGTTCTGGAGTATTTGTGTTGCTGGAGCAATGACGGCTTCTTCCTAGTAGAGGAGGGCAGCTTCGGAATATTACAGGCACCTTTCATTTTGGTGTTAAGAGCCAATTTGGTGTAGCGGTTGGGAATGCGGACGCTAATCTGGGAGAACCGGGTTTGATTCCCCACTCCTCCACTTGCAGCTGCTGGTGTGACCCTGGGTCAGTCACAAGTTCTCTCAGAGCTGTTCTCTCAGGAGCAGTCCTCGAAAGAGCTCCCGCAGCCCCCCCCCCACCTCACCGGGTGTCTGTTGTGGGGAGGGGGAGGGAAAGGAGTTTGTAAGCTGCTCTGAGACTCCTTCGGGTAGAGAAGGGTGGGGAATAAATCCAATCTCTTCTCTCTCGCTATTCTATCGACTGGCAGCCCTACCTCGAACCCAGGGAGCAGAAAGCCAGTTTGCACCACCTAGAACCTGGGCGGTGACACCAAGACCCGTGGAGCACGCGTCTCCAGCGAACGCTGTAACGGCAAGAGTTCTTCTTTTTCTCTCAAAATGGAAATCTGGGGCAACTCTAAGACCGCAGCTCCAGCAGTCCACTTCATGCCAAGATAAGCCGAGAGAGCATAAAGACCGCTTCATCCGAAAGCCGGTGTGAAACAAGGATGCCTCTGTTGATCATCCGGCAGGGTGAGAGGAAGGCAAAGCACAGCCCGGATTTTCCACCTGGCCCGGAAGCAGCTTAGGGGCACAGCTAGAACGGGGGCTCCCCTAAGGGTCTCCCCCCAGGGTTGAAGGGATCCCTCTTGACGCCTGTGGCAGTGGCTCAGTGGAGAGCCCCTGCTTGGCATGCAGAAGGTCCCAGGTTCGATCCCCAGCATCTCTAGCGGAAAAGACCAGGCAGGAGGTGACGGGAAAGACTTCTTGCCTGTGACCCCGGAGAGCTGCTGCCCGTCTGAGTAGACAAGACTGACTTGGATGGACCAGGGGACTGATTCAGTATCAGGCCGCTCCGTGAGTTCACGTGAGGTCAGCTCTTCCCGTTCCCAGGGCCAGCAAATGCACTGGAGCCCGGAAAAGCGAGAGTCGAATTCAGAACACTCTGAGGGGGTCGCAGCCCCAGATGTGGCCCTTAAGCCCAAAGGTTTACCCATCCCTCCCCGACTTGTTGCTCCTCCCCCCCCCGCCCTTGCCTGGAGAAGGAGAGCCCACTCACCGACAACTCTGTCTCCCGTCTGCACTCCCATCTTCCTCATGGCGGCGGCGTAGAGAGCGACGCGCTGCCGCAGCTCCCCGAACGTCACTTTCAGGATCTCTTCTTTGCCTTCCTCTGTGGGAAGAGGGGGGCGGAGACAAGCCTGGTTAGCGGTGTCGGTAGTACGCGGTGCTAGCCCACTGCAGACAGTGCACGGGTGTAAGAGTATCCAATAAGACTGGAGTCTTCAAGGCTTAGTGCAAAATCTATTTACAGTTTAATTTACAAAACCCTTCACCAAGAATTGCACAGACTGACATAATGCTCACGCAGACACCCAATATTCACAAGAAGATAGTTTGCTCTGTACATCACTGTACTCAGGGCTCTTTTTGTAGAAAAAGCCCAGCAGGAACTCATTAGCATAATAGGCCACACCCAACAGCAGAAACTCATCAGCATATTAGGCCACACCCCTGACAGCACAGCTTATTAGCACATTAGGCCGCACCCCCATGTTACCAGAAGTGTGGTCATCCAGCCACACCCACCTTTTGCTTCTTATTCTGTTTACCTTCTTTGTTGTCAAAACCCAGGGCCTTTTTTGTAGCAGGAACTCCTTTGCATGTTAGGCCACACACCCCTAATGTAGCCAATCCTAATGAGTTCCTGCTGTTGGGTGTGGCCTATTATGCTAATGAGTTCCTGCTGGGCGTGGCCAACTCGGGAGCCGGCCGGAACTCCGTTCCTGTGCGTTCCTGCCCAAAAATAGCCCTGACTGTACTTATACTTCCATTGACCAATCAGGGCCAATGCTGAGTCACTGTCTAATTAGCTCTCGCGTGAACCAGCCAGAACCGGTCAGAGCCAGCTTTCCAATCACTTAGAGCTGTCAGCTGCTGTCACTTACCGTAGATCCCACAGATCTACAGCCAGACTTAACTGCACATTAGAATGTTGACAAGCGGGGGCCACGGAAAGGACACAAGGAGACCAGCCCCGTGAGGAAAGGCTGAGGGACTTGGGGATATCCCGCCTGGAGGAGAGCGGGTGGAGGGGGGACAGGATGGCTCTCTGGAAGTATCTGTAGGGCCGTCGTCACTTCCGAGGAGGGCAGGGAGCTGTTCCTGTTGGCAGCAGAAGATAGGACTCACAATCATGGGTTTAAATGAAGGGCGGGAAGGTACCGGCTGGATTATCAGGGAAAGCTTCTTCTTCTTCTTCTTCTTTTGCTCCTAATATAAACTTTAATACAGTGTTCATGAAGAACTCTTAAGTCAGCGAAATCAAGGAGGCTTTTTGCACCTATGAGCGAGGATAAGACTGGGGTGTTCCTAATTCATACACTTTTAATGCAACGAGAGGTATGTTTGAAACAATACCAAACAACATTCCATTCAGCTTCATTACAATACATTACACATTTGACTTATATACCGCTCCTTCCCGGAGGCTCGGAGCGGTTTACATAGACATTTAACTTCACCTAACTAGGGCCACAGTGCAAGGGGAGGGGTGAGTGCCTACCAGGCACCTAAGCAGCCGTGATCTTCTTCTTGCGTTGTTGTTTCCGTGGCGGGTTCTTGCTGTCTTCATGAACATGAACAGGGGAAACCTCTTTACAGTCAAGAGTTGTGCAACAGTGGAATCGGCTGCCTACGGGGGTGGCGTGCTCCCCCTCCCTGGCAGTCTTCAAGCGGCGGCTAGACAAACATTGGTCAGGGATGCTCTAGGCTGATCCTGCATTGAGGAGGTTGGACTAGAAGGCCTCTATGGTCCCCTTCCAACTCTGTGATTCCATGTTTCTAAGGGAGACCACCTAGGAAAACTCAGCAAACCACCCCTGCTTCTCCGTTGCCTAGAAAGCCCCTTGCTGGGGTCGCCATATGTCGGCTGCAACTTAATGGCGCTTTACACACACACACACTTCTATCCAAGGAACAGGGCATTTCCCCCCCTCCCGGTTGTTGACAACTCCACCCACAGCTGCCCAGGACACACGATTATCCACTGTGGCTCCCACCTTGCGGAATGACCCTGTCTGCGGTCAGGAAGGTCTCCTCCTCACATTCTGCAACCTAGATAAAGCCGCTTTGTTCAGGAGAACATTTTTATAAAGGGGACGGAGCCTGCAGTGAAATTGGAGGACGCTTCTACACAGGGAGAAGACTGACAGTCAGATTTTATTAATGGCCCAGGGCCAGTATATAAATAAATACTACAACAATAACGCGTAGGAGAGCCAAAACGTGGAAACTGGATATAATACCGACTAGGGAGGAATTAGCACAAATGGACAATCTGAGCTTGAAGCTGCAAAACAAAAGCGAAAACGTATATAATAAAAGATGGTCTAAGGTATATGACTGGATTGAGAAGTTAATTGTATGACTCTGCAATTTACGTTAATAATGTATTGGAATGTAAACTTTGTAAAATCAAATAAAAATATACTAAAAAAAACAATAACGCGTAGGAGAGACAATAAAACAATAACATGATTAAAAATATTCACGGCCAGTATATAAACACTACAACAATCACACATAAGACAATAAAATAACATAATTTAAAATATGCAAAAAATTGAACGCTCAAATTTGAAACTGATACAACAGTTATGCATATCAACTTCCCACTATTCCTTTAGAAACGTAGATGGAATGTAATTTTATCGCTTGAACACAAAATTTTTCTATTTTCTTACTAGGAGAAGACTGTCGCTTATCGCACTCTTTACTGCATGGCCTGTCTTGTATTTATTGCACTGTTTTCTATTTGGGGCCAAAAATCCTCACTATAAATACACGCTGATGGGGTCTGAACTGGCAGAGACTGACCAAGAGAGAGATCTTGGAGTCGTAGTAGATAACTCACTGAAAATGTCGAGACAGTGTGTGACTGCAATAAAAAAGGCCAACGCTCGGCTGGGGATTATTAGGAAGGGAATTGAAAACAAATCAGCCAGTATCATAATGCCCCAGTATAGATCAACGGTGCAACCTCTTTTAGAATACTGAGTGCAATTCTGGTCACCACAACTCAAAAAGGATATTATAGCATTGGAAAAAGTACAGAAAAGGGCTGGAACACTTTCACTATGAAGAAAGGTTAAAGCGCTTGGGGCTCTTTAGCTTGGAGAAACGATGACTGAGGGGTGAAATGATTGAGGTTTATAAGATTATGCATGGGATAGAGCAGGTTGAGAAAGAGGTACTTTTCTCCCTTTCTCACAAGACAAGAACTTGTGGGCACTCAATGAAATTAATGAGCAGTCGGGTTAGAACAGATAAAAGGAAGTACTTCTTCACCCAAAGAGTGATTAACACTTGGAATTCACTGCCCCAGGAGGTGACGGCGGCTACAAGCAGGGACAGCTTCAAGAAGGAATTGGATAAACATACGGAGCAGAGGTCGATCAGTAGCTATTAGTCACAAGGTATAGATAGGAACTCTCAGTCTGGGGCAAGTGATGCTCTGTATTCTTGGTGCTTGGGGGGGGGCGCAACAGTGGGGGGGCTTCTGGTGTCCTGGCCCCACTGGTGGACCTCCTGATAGCACCTGGTATTTTTGGCCAGTGTGTAATGGAGTGTTGGACTGGAGGGGCCACTGGCTTGATCCAACATTGGCTTCTCTTATGCTCTTATGTTCTCTTATTTCCTGTAATCAAGTTTTTGCATGGAGCTGCAGTGGCTCAAGTGGTTAAGACGCTGGACTGCAGGCTGTGGAAGGTCGGTAGTTCAGCAGTTTGAGACCCAAGTTGCCGCATGACGGAGTGAGCTCCCGTCTCTAGTTCCAGCTCCTGCCAACCTAGCAGTTCGAAAGCAAGAAATTGCAAGTAGATAAATAGGTACCACTTCGGTGGGAAGGTAACAGTAGGGTTGCCAGCCTCCAGGTGGGGCCTGGGGATCTCCCGCTTTTACAAATGATCCCCAGCTGCAAGAGATCAGCTCCCCTGGAGAAAATGGCTGCTACGAAGGGTGGACTCCATGACATTCTACTACGCTGAGGCCCCTCCCCTCCCCAAACCACGCCCTCTCCTGGCTCCATCCCCAAAGTCTCCAGGTATTTTCCAACCCAGACTTGGCAACCCTAGGTAACAGCGTTCCATGCGCCTTGGTGTTTGGTCATGCCGGCCACATGACCACGGAAACGTCTTCGGACAGCGCTGGCTCTTCGGCTTTGAAACTGAGATGAGCACCGCAACCCTAGAGTCGGATTCGACTGGCTTTCGAGCAAGGGAACCTTTACTTTTTTTTAATACCGTATTTATGGCACCGCTTTCTAACTTTGCAATCCAGTCTTACTGCGTATGTAAAAATGCTGTCAAGCGGCTTCTGACGTACGGCCACCCTATGAAGTAATGTCCTCCAAGAAGTCCTACGGTTAACAGCCTCGCTCGGGATTTGCAAACCGAGGGCCGTGACTTCCTTGATGGATCAGGGCTCTTTTTGTAGCAGGAACTCCTTTGCATGTTAGGTGACGCACCCCTAATGTAGCCAATCCTCCGAGAGCTTACAGAGCTCTCCTTACAGGGGCTACTGTAAGCTCTGGGAGGATTGGCTAACTTTAGGGGTGTGTTGCCTAATATGCAAAGGAGTTCCTGCTACAAAAAGAGTCCTATAATACAGCGTCTCACACTGTTCTCATTGCAGTATCATGTAACCCACCTTGAGTCACAGTCCACACAAGGAAATCCAGAAAAGCCAGCTACAGTTACTGCTATTCCACAACTGTAGCTTAATATCCAACCTGTGGGTGGCAATGCTCCCTCTAAGCTGTGGAGTCCGGTGAGGAAAAATACTCCTCAGTGAGCTCCTGGCATTAGTTGTGAGCGAGCCATTTGGCTACTGCATAAATTAGTTTGCTCTGGGGCCCTCCTTCCTGAGAGGAGGAGGAGATTGGATCTATACCCCGCCCTCCACTCGGGAGTCTCAGAGCGGCTTACAAACTCCTGTCCCTTCCCCTCCCCACAAGCACCCTGGGAGGTAGGTGGGGCTGAGAGAGCTCTGACAGAAACTGTCCTTGAGAGAACAGCCCTGACAGAACTATGGCTTGCCCAAGGTCATCCAGCAGCTGCAAGTCGAGGAGTGGGGGATCAAACCCGGTTCTCCCAGATTGGAGTCCGCGCACAT